GGCCGTGGTCGCTGACCACGCCCTGTTCCTGAAACCTGTGCTCCTGAAGCAGACCCTCCATGCCCCCGCCTCCGGGACAGGCCATGAGTCCTGTCGGACCCCAGCGCTATGGCCCCCAGCACTGACCTCTCCTGAGGCTGGGCGAGACCCCAGAGATGAGGGAGGCAGGCTGTGAGATGGTGAGGTCACTTCCCTGCCAAGGCAGCCTCCCCACTCTGCCCAGGGCAGCCGCACCCATCAGGGCCAGAGCAAGGTGTGGCCAGCCTGCTCCTGGCCTGCCAGGTCCCTGCTGCTGGCCCAGGATTGGCCAGGCATGCTTGCCTTTCTTGGTTGATGCAGAGGCTGGGGGCAGCCAGGGTGCCCTGCAAGCCCAAACGGGAACCATGCCATTGAGAGCTCCCAACAGGTAGGGCAGCGCAGACCTACCCTTGTGGGCTCCGAGGCGGCCAGTCTCCCTCATACGGAGCAGCTGGGGTTTCCAACTGTCCACTTTGCGGTGAGGAGCCCACCACATGACCCACTGCGTCCCCGAGCTCCTGGAGCTGAGAGGAGGGGCCCATCGTCTTGAATCACAGAAGATCCTTCCAGGCCAGGGGAGAGGGGGCGGGCGCTGCCCAGGACTCTCCGCCCCCTCCTGGGCAGCGCATCGTCCATCATAAGAAGTCAGGCTGGGAGAACAGGAAGGAAGAAAGGCCTAGGGATTGAACACCACCAATGAGAGTCCACGGGTCTTGGCAGTCTGTACACGTGAGGGGGGCGTGGGGCGGGGCCGGTACGCTCGTCTGCTGTGGGTGGGACCGCTGTGAGTAGGTGTGACTTCTTTGAGGTCAGGGGACGTGAGTGGAAATCGAGACTATAGTGGTGGGGAGGTGAGCTAGCTAGGACGCTCCTGCACCCCGCCCTCACAGCATTGGGCTGAGTTTTCTAGGACATTGGTGGGTGGGGGGCATCCCACTGTGCCTATCTCCCCTTCCATAACTGGGAAATGTCCGTTCAGATGGTGGGGCAGGGAGCTGGGTTCAGACCCACATGGCCGGCTCCCTGCCCTCCAACACATTCAGAGAGAAGCTTGCTGTGTGGCCTCTGGCCCGGCCTTTGCTATCTCTGGGACCCCACCCCTCTCTACAAGAGTCAGGGCGCCACCCCCCAAAATGGGACAAAGCCCACCTCTTACCTGGGGTGAATGGCCCCTCATAGTTCTGGACATGCCTGACCATTTGTCCACTGACCAGGGTGGGATGCCTCACTGTCCCCTCAAGCAGCAGCAGGTGTGACAAAGTGGTCCTGTCTGGGGCTACCAGGCCCCGCCCACACCAGCTGGGAGCTGGGGCATCCATCAAACCCCTGGCCTGAGAGGCAGGTGCCACCCAACTCTGGTCAGGACCCCAAGCAGCCAGGTGGTGGGGCCCGTTTCTCTTCAGGACTTCAGGGCCTTTGGGTGGCCTGCCTGTGGGCAAATTGGTGAGGATGCTGGGCCAAAGCCCCCAGACGCACACCCCTTTGTGACAGACATTCATTCCTTCACCCGTGTGTTTGCTCATTCATGTGTTCACTGGCGGATTTATTCACTTTTCTCATTCATTTAGTTGTTCGTTCACTCATTTGTTTGCTCATCCATCCATTCATTCACTCACTCAGCTGTTTATTCCCTCATTTGTTTGCTTGTTTATTCATTCAGTCATTCATTCACTCAATTGTTCATTCCCTCATTCATTCACTCAGTCAATTGTTCATTCCCTCCCTCATTCATTCACTTACCTAGCTGATCATTCGTTCATTCACTGAATCACGGCACCTCCTTTCTTCCATGGTCCCCAGTGGCTGGGTGCTGGCTGAGAGACTCTAAGGACAGACCCCCTGCTGTCCCTCTGTGTTGGCCACCCCCCTAAGTGCATAGGCTCCGCATCTGACTCTGCCCAACGTGAGGCCCCTTATAGCCTCCGCTCACCCACCTGCCCGATGGGCTGAAGGCCACTGTGTTGGGGGAGGAGGTCACAGTGGACAGGAAGAGGTCCCGCCAGGCTGTGCCCTGCCGGGATGAGCTGGGCAGGCTCTAGTCACTGACCTTGGCTGGCCCTTCTCACCCCAGACCGTGCCGGTGGCTGAATCAGCGGGGGTGACTCATTTCCCTCCCCCACTCCACCCCTGTAGCCATGTTGGCCTGACTGGGAGACCTGAGACCTGAGGCTCTGGTGGGCGGCTTTGTGTCAGGGGCTGCCAGGAGCCCTCAGGCCCAGGATCCATGTTGGAGGACCTCAGGGGCTGGTACGGCTGTCCAGATGTGGGTGCACTGCACCTCGGCACCTCCCCAGCATCCAGCTCATGCCTTTTCAGGAAGCCTGTCCCAAGGGCACCAAGCACACTGGCCTCTCCCTGCACCCGGGCCCTCCTGCCTCCCGGAGTGGCTGAGTTCAGAGGGGACAAACTGCCCTGTACAGGCCCCACCTCTGCTTGGACAGGGGAGCTCTGCTCTTGAGGGGCATCTAGATTGAGGCTAACTTGTGCCCCCAAACAGAGAGGTCTTCAGAGCCTGGACACCTGGGTCCACTGGGGCCTCAGGCCTTTTCCTCAACTGACCCAGGGGGCCTCACTGAAGCCAGGACCACAAGACCCTGTGGTTTGTGTCTGACTCCTGTACCTGGAGCTTCGGTCATTGCTGCTCCCAGACACCAGGCCAGCCCAGGACTTCCTGAGTCCAGGACCAAGCCTGGTGGCTGTGGGGCGGGGGGTTCCTCCATCCTGGCTGTCGGGGACCCTGGTGGAGTGGAGGGCCGGCGCCTGGGCTCCCATTGGAACCGAGCATCAGGCTAACTCGTCTCAGTCACAGACCCTGATGACCTGCGTCTGCTTCTGCATGGGCCTCAAATGCCCTGGTCCCTGGAGTGGGAGGACACTGCCTTCAGGGCAGGCTGGGCTGAGTGCTGGCTCTTATGCAGAGCCGGGATTCCCGGTCATGGGGCCAGTGGTCCTACCTGGTGACCAAGTTTACCCCGTGCCCAGCACCCACTTATTTGCCCGCCCGTCTGTCTGTCAATGCACAGTGGCTCTCGTGCAGCTGTGATGCTAGAAGCTAGGTCACCAGTATCGCAAATGCCAGCTAGGCTGCCCATGGTGGACAGGTCTCATCAGTGACCACGACAGGCTAGGAAGAAAGGCCTGGTGGTCAGCTTCTGATCCTCAGTGAAGGAAA